ATATTTTCTGGGTTTCAGAGATTGATAGGGGAAGGTGAGAGCAACTACCTTTTCACTCCACCATCTTGGCTCCCCCTGCTTATCATTTCTTATGAATACAAAATAATATTCTATTATAATAATATACCACAACTTGTTCAGCCATTCCCCAATTGATGGGTATCCCCTTAATTTTCAATTCTTTGCCACCACAAAAAGAACTGCACAAATTTTTTTGTATAAATCCTTTCACCACCACCCCCATCTCTTTTTGATACAGGGCTAGTAATGTTATGGCTGTATCAAATAGCATATAGTTTGATAGCCCTTTGGGCATAGTTCCACATTTCTCTCCAGAATGGTTGGATCAGTTCACAACTCTATTGGCAGTGCATTAATGTCCCAATTTTCCCATATCCCCTGCAACATTTATCATTTTCCTTTTCTGTCATATTAGCCAGCCTGATAGATGTGATGTAGTATCCTAGAGTTCTTTTAATGTGCATTTCTCTATAGATTAGATACTGCTAAATGAGATCTTTATCAAATAGAGTCATAGGATCACACATCTAGATTGTGTACAGAATTCAGAGGCTAGCTAGCTGAACTCGCTCATTTTACAGATGAGGAAACTGAGGCCGTGGGATATTAAGTGACTTGCCCAAGGTCATATAGGTCTCAGGTATGATGAGTTAAATGTGGCCCTAGTACTTCTGACTTTAGCACCAGTTCTTTTTACACTGTATTATGTTGTATTCCAAATATATGCACCAAAGATAAAGCATACCTTCCAACTATCCAACAAGGAGTGAATAACTAACACATTTTTCATTACTGGAGCCATAAGCAGAATGTGGGACTTTCAGAAACTTTTGGATGATCCTTAATATTCAAAGGCGCTTAGAAAGTTGTTACCTCTCCAAAAGTCCTGAGATGTCCCTTGTGAGAAGAGCCTTATGTCTTTCAGTACTGCTTCAGAAATTCCTTTTCTTCTCTTCCTCTCTGTTGTATTCTTCTACCTTGGCTTGGAGTCTTTAGAATGTGAGTTCTTTGAAAATAGGGATTGTATTTTGCCTTTCTTTTTATCCCCAGTGCTTAACACTGTGCCTAGCACATAATAAGTGTTTAATAAATGCTTGGATGACTGACTGACTTCTGTCTCTTCAGAAGCTTTTGGTTCACATCACTCCCTAGATTATTTCTTCCATCTTTCCTAGGAAAACAAGTCACCTACTTTAATGAAGCAGATTACGAAGCCTTTCTTCCTTTCATGTCTCTTCTAGAGACATCAGTATCTTGAGAATTTGGTATGTGCTTAAGTATTTAATGTTTCTGGACTCTAGGTAATTGGTGCTGTTCTTCCATTTTCATATTTCCATGCTGTTTGGAAGGAAATCTTGTACCCTTGGTGGTTCTAAAAGGCAAATCTTAAGTGGATAAACTTTTTAGCCGTCACTCTGGGACTTCTCCAACTTGCCAAAATGTGTTCAATTCTAATCTCCTCTTCTCCCCTGGTAATACCTAATTGCCCCCAGTATAAGTGGTAGCTTCAATCAACAGATGTCCTCTCTCTTTTAATATGTTTTAATAGTTCGTGTTCTCACACGCATGCATACACACACAAGTTGTCACTGACAGTGGCTGATTCCCTTTTTTCATTGTATTGCTCTGGAAAGTGCTACCTTTGGAGTTAGTGAGGTATTTCATTGCAGGTGAGGCCTTGATGACCAAATTTGTTAAGTGTATTGAAGAAAGAATTCTTGTTAAATAGTAAACGGACTAATACTCCTTTAGGTCCTATTATACAACATGAGTAGGGCTAAATAAAGGTACTAAATGCTTTGAGGATTACCAAGAGGGAGAGAACAAACACATTTTTTAAAAATATAATTTATTTTATTAAATATTTCTCATTTATGTGTAAAAAATTAACAATCGTTTAAAAATTTGAGTTCCAAATACTCTCCCTCCCTCCCACCAACTCCCTTACATTAGAAGGAAAACAATTTTATACTGATTATACATGTGAAGTCAGGCAAAACATATTTCCATATTAGCCATGTTGGAAAAGGAAACACAAATAAACTAAAACAGTAAAAATAAATGAAGTTTTTAAAAGTGCCTCAATCTGCATTCAGAAGAGTTCATCTCTGGGCTTTTCCCTCTCTATAGGCGTATAGCATTTTTCATTCTGGGTCCTTTGGCATTGTCTTAGATTATTGTCTTGATCATCCTTACAATATTGCTGTTGCTGTGTACAATATTCTCCTGGCTCTGTTCATTTCACTTTGCATTAGTTCATATAAGTCTTGCCAGGTTTTTCTGAAACCATCCTCTCTTATTTCTTATAGCATAATAGTATTCCATCACAATCATATACCACAACTTGTTTAGCCATTCACTAACTGATGGGCATTCCTTCACTTTCCAATTCTTTGCCACCATAAAAAGAGCTGCTACAAGCATAGTTGTACAAATAGGTCTTTTACCCTTTTCTTTGATCTCTTTGGGATACAGACCCAGTCAGTGCATTACTGGGTGAAAGGGTATGCAGTTTTGTGGCACTTTGGTCATAGTTCCAAATTACTCTCTGAAGTACTTAGACTAATTCACAGCTCTACCAATAGTGCATTAATGTCCCAATTTTTTCACATCCCCTTTAGTATTTGTAATTTTCCTTTTTCGGTCATGTTAGCCAACCTGATAGTTGTGATGTAGTATCTCAGAGTTATTTTAATTTACATTTCTCTAATCGGTAGTGATTTAGATAATTTTTTCATATGAGTGCTGACAGATTTGATTTTTTTTCATATCTTTTGACCATTTATCAATTGGGGAATGGCTCTTATTTTTATAAATTTGGCTCAGTTCCCTATAGATTTGAGAAATGAAGCCTTTATTAGAGAAATTTATTGTAAAATTTTTCCCAGTTTTTTTTTTTTTTTGCAATTTTGGTTGCATTTGTTTTCTCTGTGCAAAACCTTTTTAATTTCATGTAATCAAAATTATCTATTTTACTTTGTGTAATCCTCTTTATCTCTTATTTGGTCATAAGCTATTCCTTTATCCATAAATCTCACAGGTATGGTTTTTGTGCTCCCCTAATTTAATTATGATATCACCTTTTGTGTCTCAATCACTTATCCATTTTGACCTTATCCTGGTATATGGTAGGAGATGTTAGCTCATGCTAGTTTCTGCCAAACTGCTTTCCAGTTTTCCCAGCAATTTTTGTCAAATAGTAAATTCTTGTACCAAAAACTTATATCTTTGGGTTTATCAAGTAATCTATTCCACTAATCCAGGGCTTAAACTTTTTTCCATTCATGATCCCTTCTCCTGTTTCAGCAGGTGTTAGTTGGCTTTGTGTGGCTTGAGGGCATTCAAAATGCAAAGTGCACATGCTTTGTGCTCACAACCAAGACTGCAATGAAGTTGTGTGATTCAGCACCGGCAAGTGCTGCCAGAAACACCTCAGATTCATTACACATTTGATTTTTAATTAATTTTTGCTTAATTTTGTTTAGAAACCTTTTGCTGTTGCCAAAATTTTCATGACCCTGTATGAGGTCATGATCCACAGTTTAAGAAATGCTGTATTAATCCACCACTGCATTTCTTAGCCAGCACCAGATTCTTTTATGATTACAGCTTTGTAGTATAGTTTGAAATCTGGAACTGCCAAATCATCTTCCTTCACATTTCTTTTCATAGATTCCCTTGATATTCTTGACCTTTTTTTCTTCCTGATGAATTTTGTTGCTATTTTTTTCTAGTTCTATAAAATGATTATTTGGAAGTTTGGGTGTATTTGTAAAGTATTTGTAAAGTCACATGCCTTGATTTTCAACAATTGAGCTGTGAATAGGCTGGCTCAAAATAAGAGGTTTTTGTAAATGCAATTTGAAGAATATTTCTTCATGAAGATCTATGCAAAGATAACGGACGGGATTGATTTATCTATGTTTAAAAAAAATGAAAGCTGGAAACCAAGTGATTCATGGAGCACATAGTGTTTTTTGTATGAACCCCATCTCAGGATGGTCATGACTTATGAAAAATCATTGTTATTTTTTTGTTTTGAGGGGGAAAAAACTAACTAAGCTGTGGATGGATGTTTATATAAACATAGTCACCAAAATAGGGGTATATTTTTAAATGAGTATACAACTTAGCTTATGTTTATTAAGAAAAATTTCAAGGTGTGTCTGAGTAAAACACTTTGTTTATTTCCATTTGAAAGAGTGGGTAGAGGCTAAAAAGGCAAAAATTAAAAGGATAAGATCGTAGCCTTTTCCTCCCTTCATTTTCTAGGTTGTAAATTTGGGAGAGTGAAGGGAGAAAAATGTAGAAGACAGCTTTATTCATATGTATATACATATATATGTATATGTATACACACATAGACACACATATACACACACATATATACACATACATACACACACATATACATATATATATACACATACATACACACACTCACATATGTTCGTATTATGATCATTTGTTCTTTTTGGTAGTAGCTGGCCCCTGAGAACCTTTCTGATTCTAATAAGCTGTGAATTTTGAGGTTTTGGCATTTGGCTTCCATGTACATATAGTAACTATTGAGGTATTTTTAATAATAGTTATCATTTATGTAGTGCTTTAAAGGTTTGAAAAGTGCTTTAATATGTTATCTCATTTGCTCCTCAAAACAACCCTGTGATATGGATTGTTTTTATAAATGAGGAAACAGAGTGAGAGAGATTAAGTGACTTGCCCAGGATCACACATCTAGAAAGCACATATGGAGGGAATCAAAGTTAGGTTTTCCTGACCCCAAGTACGTCATGCCCTATCTATGACCACCTAGCTGCCTATTATATAAATGATGTTGTTATAGATATTGAGCTGTAATATTATTTTTCATTGAGAAATTAAAGTGGGAACCAAGGAATTATCTAATTTTGAAATCTTGTTGTAAATATACTTATCTCTGCTTCTGACCATTTTTATGGTTTCTTTTCTCATTATAGGTCTTGGATTCTGGATATTTGTGTTTTTATTTTTAAACATTTTTTTGAGGGAGGCTTTTTTTTCTTTTCTTTTTTTAAAATTCTCCTCCCTTTAAAGTAGAGCCATCTACTTCTTGGAGTACTGAAGAGGGAACAAAAGGACATTTATTTCATTTCACTTTTGAAGCACTCATCACTGAGCAACCTTCAAGCCACAGTACTCAGCCATGTGGTCATCACAGCTGCTATTCTTCATGACGCTCTTTGCACCAATCGTTCATGGTAAGGCCATAGTGGAGATATATATGGAATGGCTATCTTCTGCTCACTTAGTCATATAAGATTCTCTTTTCCAAGTGGACTAGGATTCAGCAGATTGACATCTGCTGTACATTAATTCCAGGTAGGCTTGAATCAGGGCCGAGTATTTGTACTCTTAAATTGCAAACACAAAATGACTTCAAGATATATTTCCTGAAGTGCATGTTGAAATATATACAGCCATAATGTATATATAGTTGTATTTACCTTATGAATATGTGTATACTATTTGAAGTTTACCATTAGTACCCTTCTGGGAAAAAAAAAGCCATGCTTGCTGAATGGATTGCGTTATTTGAAACAGTTTTTTTTTAAATGATTGATTATTTTGCATTTACCTTGCATAAAAACCGTTTTACATTTAATTAATATTTGCTTCAATGATCTGTGATTCTGTGCACGTCAGTGATGCTTCTACCAATGTAAATTATATACTTTCTACAACTAGCTAAATAAGTCTTTTAGAGTTGCTATGTCACGCACCATCCCCGCCCCCCCCACCAAAAAAAAAAAAACCCTGTAGAAACCAGCAATAGCTATTGGTCAACTGTTGACAGACATTGCTAGTCCTGAGCTGGAAGTTTTTGTTTTTGTTTATGTTTTTGTTTTTCTGATTTGGTAGGATCTGAGAGAGATTAAACTTCATGGACATAGTCATTGGGAGTCATGAGGCCTCAACTTACAACTTTATTTCAAGTGTTATTAAAAATACTTACCCACAGTCCCATGATTGAAAAACCAAATTAAGCTATTTGATTCTGAGGTGATTATTTTGTATTTCCCCACTTGAAAAAAAACTGTCTAGAAGACACTATTTCTAACAAAAGTTCTGTTGTTGTGTTTAGAAATAATAAAAATAATTTGCCTTTCCTGTAAAAAAAGAGTGAAATAGACTCACTGGAAAATTTGTCTGCCCTCTTGTGTACTTTTCTCAGTTTCTTGAGACTCAGCATGCTTTTTATTAATTTTTTATTAATTTATTTTGATTTATCAACAATGATTTCTATAAGCTTTTGAGTTTTAAATTTTTCTCCCCTTCTTAACCTCACCTCCCTCCCCAAGACAGTGTGTAATCTGATATAGGCTATACATATACATTCCTATTAGACATATTTTCACATCAGTGATTTTATAAGGAAGAATTGGAACCAATAGGAGAAACCACCAGAAAGAAGAAACAAAACAAAACAGAAGAAAAAAAAATAGCAAATAGTATTAGTATCCTTTTTTATACCACAAGTTTGCTAAAAAGAGGTAATTTTAGAAAGGATATTTCTTAATAAGGAAACATTTAGATGAGGCCAAATTTTTCCTATAAAATTCCACCTTATTTTTCTAAACCTTTCAGGTGAAAAATATTTTACTAGATAGTTCAGCAAACCATGGCTTTTTGTCAAACTCTTGAAATAACATTTCCTAAATTCACAGTGTTTTGCTTTAGATTGTAACTGGCCTGACTTGATAAGTAACATGGTTTATATATCTCACATATCTGAGGTTAATTTTAGTATCATAGAAAGGAAGACAATTGTATTTTCCATTTGCTGACAAGAACACTGGAGAATAATCAGTGGATGAAGTGAATTATTTGTCAGTTCAGTTCACCTTTGTTTTCAATTGATTATAAAAATCCTGCTTTAACAAGACTGTACCTGAAAAAGTGTTACCCATTTTCAAAAATCTGTTCTGTACTGAGTCCATCATAGAAACTATAAACAGTAGTACTAGCCTCAGCCACTTCTGGTAAGCATATGTCATCTTACCACTATAGTTTTTCTCCCAAAAGTGTTCTCATACATATACTGTATCAAAACTTTTCAAGATGCTTCAAAAGATGTAACACCCTAAATAACTTTCTTTGATGACCTCTGGTTACTAATTTCTGGCAAGGCATGAAAGAGTAAAATTTATACTTTCCAAAGGTGCTAGCCCCTGTAAAGGAGCGGATCCTGGATTCCATCCAAGTTAAAAATGGATTCCTGGTGGATGGTGAGGTCCTTCATATATTCCAGTTTGGAGATGACATTGTTCTAATCGTATTGAGGTGTGCAACATTGCAAAGCCTTTTAAATAAGAACCATAAATACTCAAAAGACCCTCATCTAACCATCCACATAAATTGAACAAATTGGGTGAAAAGTACCTGTCATCCAGATGATGACATCAAGTTGGATTACCTATAGATAATCTATTGATTTAATGTCAGTATGTTTGTGTATATGTATGTATATGATTTTGTGTGTATGTGTGTGAATTTATTATGGACCCAGAATTAAACACATTGATAAGAAGAAGAAGAATTGCCTACAGGAAATTGCAATCTCTCTTTAATGGTGCTAAACTTCTTAAAGAAAGGCTTATCTGTTTTTTATACCAATATTCTAGTAGCCCTATGCATACTTGTCATGGAATACTGGAGTCTCCAAAGAATTAAAAATAAATATCACCCTAAGAGCAATACAAAATTTCATGGTAAATATGATTAGTCTGTTGCACATTACAAATAAGGAACTGCAAAGGAGAATTGAAATAAAAGGTGCTATTAAAGAAATATAGGACCAAAAAAAGGCAATTGGGTCGGTCCCATGTCAAGGATATGCATTAAACGTTCTTTGTGCTCCATTGCATATCCTTTTGATGTCAAGAGAATTATAAAAATGGGTGGACCCTTTACCTCAAACTTGAGAAAGGGCAGTGAACAAGAGGGAGGCATGAATAGGTTTGAAGTCTAAATGAGGAGACTGCAATCTGAGATGCCAGATCAATTTGAGAATTGGAATATTTTAATTTCTTGAAAGTCTATGTAATTAAATAGCAATATGCAAAAAAGAACCCTAATTGGATCAGTCAATAATGTAGTGATATATTTATTAGAAGCAATTACAACTTTTAATTAAAATTGAAAAACAGAATTTGAAAGCTGTATACTTGGGTAAATTTGAAGATCACTTGATATTTGATAAAGGATGGGAATGCATGTCAGTTAATATAGTTGCTCTGGTTCCTAGGAGCAGCTAAGTGGTACAGTGGATAGAGTGCTGGGCTAGGAGTTAGGAAGATCTAAGTTCAAATCTGGCCTCAGACACTTACTAGCTTTGCGACCCTGGGCAAGTTACTTAACCTCAGTTTTTCTCTTTCCCTATCTATAAAATGGGATAATAATGGCACCTACTTCCCAGAGCTGTCATGAGGATCAAACGAGATAATAATTATAAAGCATGAAGCACAGTTTTTGGCAGAGTGACTACTTATTATTTAGCTAAATAATAAGAAGGTTATTAGTATTATGTTGTTGTTGAAAAGCAACCCAAATCAGTTGCAAATATATGGGTATTTTTGTTCAGATTTAGATTTGTTTTTGTCATGCTGTCTTGGAACTAGCTTCTACATTCATTCTAAAATATTTAAATGCGAGAATCCTTAAAATATAAGCCTCCCATATGGCATGTTTGGAAGCAGCAAACACAAAGGGCTATTGCTGTTTTAAGCTAGGTAAGGTGTAGGCTGGGGGCACAGCTCGGGGTAGAGCATAGGACTGCTGATTGAGAGGTTTTTGCTTCCTATCCAGGTACCCTCCACCAGCTGCCTGTTATAGGCATATACATTAAGCTTCTTGCAAAATGAATTAATTTCCTCAGAACACTGCCTGAATGAAACCTCCTGATGGCTGCTCATTCATTGTGCATAAAGCAGAAACAAGAAGGCAGCCAGCAAGAACATTCTCCTGATAGTGTTTTCAGTGCATTTAAAGACAAAAAATATCTAGGCCTTCCTTTTCTAATGATGGCTGTATAAATGATGTGAAACTGATACTGGAATTCAAAAGTTGCTAAATAAATGAAGATTTAGAGTCTCTAAATTTCAGAAGCTTGCAAGGGCAATGCTCCCATCCCTCTCATTTTCATAGATTCCCATACATATTCAACTAGATCTACCCCACAGAAATTTTAAGTTGGGCCAGCTGCTGAGAACTCCAAATAAAATGAGGTTCATATGGGAAAGTTTAGTATAAAGCAGCCATAATATTTAGAAAAGGTACATCAATACATCATATAACTCTTTAAAAGTTGCCAAGGCATTGTTGACCTGTATTATTAAGGTGAATTTCATGACTCAGAAGTTCTTTTCACCAATGAAGTCCCATATTTAATCCCCATCCCTAACATACACGTAGGTAATGTGCATACAGATGTATTTTATTTGCACACATACATACACATATGTCTCTTTTAGAGAAACTACTGGCCTCGGTTTCCTAGTTTTCTTAATTTTTTTTCTCTAGTAATTACCTTGAAGTGATATGTGAATAGAGAGTCATCCTGGCAGACACAGAGATTGCAGAGACTAGTCTTTGAGTCCATTAAAAAAAAAAAAGATTCCCTCTATGTAATAGGCCCCTTCATATGCCTGGCTGAAGCTGTATTTGGAAAATGTTCTTTTGGCTTTTTTATCCTGAGTATAAAATTATTTGCATCAATGATTTTAACTTTGAGTAGATTGTTTAGTGCAAAGGAGTACGTATACGTTCATTCTTTGCCTTGGTCGTTTGGAGTAAACACCTGAGAAATATATGAGATCTAGTAGCTTGGTATTTTGTTATTTTTATGCAACAAAACAAATGCAGAACTTTTCCCAATGGAAAACATATTTTTCAATATTAATATTGTAATTATATTATTATTATTCTTACTGTTATATTACATTAGTAGCTGACCAAAATTGATTAAGCCTTTTCCAAGTAAATAGATGGATAACTAAAATACTTACATATACAAGTATGCATATGTTTATGTATAATTGCTTATAGATTTTTTCATATGTAGATTATATAGACATATATGCAATAGTATTCTGTCTACCCCTATTTCTACATATATATCTACATCTTTATATCTGTATCTTTATATATGTGTATATATATACACAATACATCTGTATCTATCACTATATGTAGTATGATA